CCGTTATAACTAGTTGATGCACGTTGTATCATTTGTTTAGGAATATTATAGTTGACTACATAAACTATATACGTATGTCTATTTATATATATATATTATATTGTAGTATATTATTTTGGTTAAGCAAACAGTTTAATTTAAATGGCTGTTTATGCGATTTGTTTGTTTTGAGAAATAGCAAACTAACGTTAATTTCCGAGTATAGGTACGTATATATTCGTATACGCGAGCTCTACAATATCGGTGTTTTAGTTGGCAATTCGCATTTTGAACAGACATTCATACTCTAAGCGAGTTATTCACGATTATTCACGTAAACAAACGTAATATTATTATAATTGGTAGGTATGCTGTGATAATAATAATAGTAATAATACCGCGCGTACCTATTAAGGAACGGACGACGGACCCTATCACTTAATCGCGAATAAACGCAAAAAATAAAAAAAAAATAAAAAAAATAATAATAATAATAATAACAATAATAAAAACAACGGTCTGTGCTATGGTTGGGATGCTATGGCAAATGCCGTTTTTTTTTTTTGTTATTAATAATTATTATTATCATTGCGTGAAAATCGCGTACCACGGTTACCGGAATCGACTCGACCAAGTACTCATTACTCCATTATATAATATACATGCAATTGTCGGTTTGTTTGACCGACCTGATCCGGATGTTGAATACGGTAAACGAAATCTTGGTATAATAGTATACAGGGTGACGCTGAACGTGATTTAGACGACTGTATAGCGGCCAACGATTTTTGAGAAGTTTTGAATTTTAAATCGAAACTAGCTGTCTTTACCTATGTTGGTTAATGCCGCCAATTTCATTTACTTTCTTTTAACTCTTTCCTTTAAAGTCATAATAATAATTAACACAAATAAAAAATATTTTGAAAACCGAAACAAACAAAATAAATGCAATTTAACGTGTCTTCTCATCGTATCAGACCTGTTTTCCTATTTGTTTAAATCGTATCTTGTGTGTAAAATTCGTTATAAAAATACCGAAAGCCCCGTGTTGGTCACTCCTTAAGAGTTGAATTTTGGAAATCTTGAGGTGTACACGGTCCGTTTAGTCACTTCTGTCTATTCAAATCTTCAAAACACTTGAGCGCAATTGCTGTAGCTGTGGATCGACCAGACAAACACACTTTGTTTAATTGCCATTGATTAAGTTTTCCGTATATTATAGACTCGTGTCATATTAAACATAGACACGGCCTATCCGTATATTTCAGAATAATATAAATTATAAATTATAAAAAAAAAAAAACCCCATATTGAAAATTTGTAAATCTGAAGTGGCGTGAAAGTCACCCAAACTATATACGCGTAAGCCTAAGACGAAACTAGATAACCGCCCCACATAATACAGTCCGTACGGTTACGATGTACCGGATGATAAGGATCGCAGTTTCGCGTCCGGCCGCAGTGAACCGGTAGATGGCGCGGAGAACGGCGGTGTTCTTCTGTACGGACCGTCGGCCGGAAATCCTCCGGTCGTATATTATTATGTGATACTCACACACCTACCTGTATATATATTATTATTATTATTATTATAATAACACCGTCGTCGCTTTTTTATCGCCAGAGATTTCCGATCGACTCTACAGGGTCGTATATTATATATTATTATATAAATATGGAACGCGTAATATTATTGCGCGTACGACAACGCGAAACGTGCGGCTCGTTTATACTCGTAACAATATATATATATATGTATACATATTTATACATCGCGGACATTTCGAAAATACCGCGGAAAGTATACGACGTAGATAATATTATGTGACGGTGGTCGTCTAGAGCGGCGGGGTTGTTCGTCATTAGGCGGAATACGTCTGGCGAATATTTTATGTGGTAGGTTTTTTTTTTTTTTCTCTGTTCTTTCGTCGCCGGTTCTCCGCGGAGAAACATACGCGACGACGACAGAAAGGTGGCTGAAAAAAAAAAAAACAGAATAATCGCATAAAAACCTGGTCGAGATTTATCGCCCGTTGGGGTCGCCGGCGCAGTGCCCGTAAGCCCTTCGCGTTTCCTCCTCCACCGCGCGAAGTCTCTCGTTTTAGAATTAAAGATACCGATAAGCTCCGACCGGTCGGAGCTTTTCGCGCGGCACGTGTAAGAATATAATGATATCATACATGCGACTCGATTAGATACGGAACATTTTAATAAGGTCGTGAAATTCCGAGGACATCGCGGTCGCCTCGATACCCGCTCGCCGCGAGTAAACAATGCTCGGACTCGATATTATTATCATATTATATTGATCACACGTTTTTGGTCAACCAGGGCAAATAGATACGAAATTCGCTAGTTCTATAGATCGTCAGTAATAACTGTGCACACAATTGTATTTTTGTTCGTGTTTTCTGTACCATTATCTACGTTTAGTATTTCCGGTATCGATTGTACATTTTCAATTGAAACATCAATATACACTATTCACATTACACTAAATATACCGTTTTCATCTGCCCCGTCCAAATAATTATAATCTTAACAATTGTTGTGTATTATATTAAATTTTGTTGATACATATAATATCGTCAATCGTCATATTTTACTTGAAATAAATCAATATAAATTTTAAAAACCATACAAACAATAATGGTGTTTTTAGATATTAATTTTTCAAAATATCAGTTCGGTCATCTAGTCGTGTACTGAAGCGTCGGTACAGTGCATACTGGTTTGATATGCATAAATTCCACGGCTTTTTGATTGTAAATCAACATCGTTTCCAATTACCCAAATATACATTACAACAATACTATTTTATGAATGCATTTGCTTCTGCTAATTGATGTAGTAAAAAAAATAAACAAGGAAAAAAGAACTGATACTGCCGACGGGTGCGCCACTGTTGTATGGGGAAAGTTAGAAATGTGGGATACATAAATGTATATAATTTATATTCGCAGCGACAATAAATCATTGCTAACGGAAATCGATTCTGATTGAAGATCGTTTTTAAACATATTTTGAAATTGTTATTTACGATTCCTCTAAATATTTTATCTTAAAATCATTATGAATATGTAATAATAAAAAATTATTTCCTCAATGCGCCAGCCAGATTCAAAAAAAAGTTCTTTTATCGTTTTACGATGATCAGTCTCCGAAAGTTGAAGATCGGAAATTTCTGGTCGAAAATTTGTTTACAAAAAGCGCACGGAAAAAAAGCAGCACGCTTCATAAAATAGCATACAGTCAAACCGATACGCGTTCCTCGGTGCGCTCGAAATCCAAAAGTAAACCGGCCGAACAAATTATTCGAAATTCCGAGCCGAGCGAATTTAATATTTTCATATCCGGGTACCCCCCCCCCCTCGTGCGATACGGTCATAACGGTCCCGGTCGGTGTGTGTGTGCGCACCCCAACTCGGTGCACCTCCGTTGCAACATTGTAATATTGTTATTATTATCATTATCGATTTATCTCGTGCGCTCTCATATTTTTTTGTTTCTATTTGTTACGCGCGCACTAGCTGCAGGCCGGCCGCGTGTATTATATTGTTTATAAATACCATTAGCGAAAATTTGAAAAAAAAAAAAATAATAATAATATTATGCGCTGTACTGTTCATACCGGCGCGTGTTTTCACCGTAATAATAATATTAAAATATATTTACGTATAGATATATTATTATGAAACGCCGCGACTGTCGTAGTGGCGGCGTGTACCTAATAAAATATTATAATATTCACAATACCTTTATGTTATTTTATATATAAATATCGGACATCGAATTATTCGCATTGCAACCCTCAGGTCCCGGGAAACGCAGTCGCCGCGTATTTGTGTGCGAGTATACAGGGTGACTCTTTTATCGCCGGTCGACTGCCACTCAAATCTATTTGAACGCAGACGATTCCCGGGTAAAATCGATTTCTCGGTTTTTCGTTCTTCGGCCGTTTTGTCGTTAGCTTGTAACATAAAAAAAAAAAAATAACTTTATAGGTGAACATAGTGAACATATCAACTTCGGTGTTCGTTACACTTGTTTCGTATAAGTTTTAATTGGCGACTAAATTATGTTTGGGAAAAAAGGAAAATTACGATAATTTTCACTTACTCGGTAATCGAAAAATAAAATTGCTTTGTTCTATTTGAAATTATTATTCGAAAATGTATCGTCCATTGTCAAATTGTTCCGTCCACAATTCTATATGTATCGTCAATTTTTAAATTTTATTGAACTTATATTGATTTTAAACTCACATCCGAAAAATTTGTTTACACAATTTTTAAATTTGGATGGGTATAATGTACATATTTTGTAATACATCGGATATATTATTTTGTATCGTTTAAGAGTTATATTAATTATAACAGTTTAAAATTTAGACCCCAGAGTGTATAATACACATTCCGGTTCAGATTCTATATCGCGTAATGTCTGTTGCACCGAAATCGAATTTATACCGATTTTTCGTATAGCTATGTATGTTACACATAGATTATCGTCCCCGTTTCGCAAGATAGAACAATCACTCTGTATAATATATAACGTTGTGTACCGCTATCGGCTAAAGGCGTACCTATACACCGCCAGGGCTCACACAAACGCCTCCTGTGCACATAAATTCGAAAAGCTCGCCGACCGCGGTGGCGTAAAATACGCGCCGCTCTGGAATCCAATAAACGCGCGAAAACCACGGGTCCGGTAGCACGATATTTTACCGGTCGCTTTCGGACCGCCTATAATATACAGTGAAAGAGCTTATGCCATCCGTCTTGCCCCATCCTTGAATCTAAAATACCGAAATACATAATAATAATGTCATATGTTCCTACCTTCAAAAGAATATTAAGAGTAACATAACTCGAAGAAACGGAAATGTTAAGAAATCGAGTTTTCTTTCGTACCATAATTAGAATTTATATTGCAAGCCGTAGCCGTGTTCAAAAAAATAAAATAAAAAAATAATAACAATAAATTATAAAATAACAGAATTAGTACATCGGAAATGCGAACAAAAACATGACAGAACAAACGATGAAATTGACGCGGCCGTTTCTCGTCTGGAAAATTGCGTTATCAGCGGCCTGACCGGGAATCGAATCAAGAGACTCGCGCTCGCTGGGCTATTACTTTACCAGTGAGCTATTAACGGTTAGCTTCTAACCTTATATTTTGCTGAATTCTAAGGGCAATAGGACAATTTTAGTAAAACACTAAACTAAATGTTATTCAATTATACCACAACGCCAAAAGTGCCAAATGCCAATATTACTAAGTATTCGGTAATATGTTTGGTCTTTATGGTTATTTTAAATCGAATGACCAAAAAAAAAAAAAAAAAAAAAAAAAACAAGTAAATAACGGAAATCGTTGTTGGATAAATTACCGTAATATTTAATTCCGTTTTTATCATTACTAAGTTGTGCGTACGCGAAATTATCGGTAACTAATATTATCTGCAGAGTACGAAATTTTTTCACGAAGAGAACCTATACAAATGGGTATTTTTCAGACATTATCCAACTTCGAACAATCGTAGTACAGGTATTAAGTATCAAGTACGAGTATTTCATTTTCCATACATATGACGTGAAAATATTATGATGTTAGTGTAGACAACAATTTGATACATTCAATTAACTGTCATTCAGGTATCAGCGAAACGGGATTTGTTTGACTTTTTTGTATCGTAATCAAGACTAAAGCATTGAAATCATTACTATTTATACTATTTACAAATCAACACATAGGAACCAAAACTAGGACACAATATTATTTATACGTCGTTCAAAGGCTATAAGAATACTTATTATAATAATTTATTAACGTACGGCACTAACCACTAGTCAATGGGATCATAATATTAATAATATTATAACAAATTGAAATAATTATCAAAAAAAAAAAAAAAAAAAAAAAAGACGATGAATACTAATTAAAATGTTTGATTGAAGCTCAAATCGGGCATGTCTTGTATACGGAGATATAGTAAGGGAAAGACAAACCGGCAATGTTCGAAATAACTGAGAAGAGAAGACCTAATAACTTCCCCAGGCAAAGGCGGATGGATAAGCAGACGAAACGTTTTGTAATGAGATACCTTAGAATATATTTTGAGAAATGTGTAATTTAAAGAAGAAAGTGAGATTGGAGAAAGATGACGTGAAACACTGAAAGCTCTAAATTGATTATAAGAACAGAAACTTCACGGCTTCATCATGATAACTGACTGCTAACATCCCCTCACGTAAAACTAAGGGTTTATCTTGGTGTTTTGCTGATACTTTTTTTTCTGATGATTGGTCCTTATTCCGATTATTATATTACCGGAATTTTAGCCAACACTAGATCAAAAATCTAAATCCGGCCCTGTACACTATTCTAATTTCACGTGCGATAACGTTTCGCTGAACGCTGGTGTTTTTTATTTTTCTAACATTCCGCATTTAAAAGCTCACCCCCCAACACCCACTTAAAACCTACCGCCAACGTTATGAACCACTGTGATAGAACGAGTTTCTTAAATTGTGTACTACTAAAAAGAAATTTTTTATTCCAGTGAGTGACATTTGCAATATTATTTCCGTGCGTTTTTTAAATAGTGTTGAACGCCAAATAATACCTACAACCTACTGATTCAATGGACTATCTACCTATATTATACATTAGAATGAAACTTATTAAAACTTATATTAAATTTAAACCCTCGTTTACGATTATTCTCCAATTTTCTCAGATGCATTTTATTAGAGGAATTTACACAGACAACAACTTTTCTAAAGTATCGTTTGGGGTCGATTTCCAATATTAATACTCACGTGGCCCCGTGAATAACTTTTCAATAACGATTTAGCATATATCGACATAATGTCCCCGGAAAAAGAATACGCTTATCACTGTAAAAAAGTACAATGGTTAAAACTCGACAACTATAGCTCACGTTATTCAAATAAACAATTTTAGTTTTATAATAATATTATAACTGAGTATTGAGTGTGTTATTGAATTTCGCTGTTCTTCTACAACAGATCATATTAGCTTGATAAATTGTGATCTAAGAAGATGTGAAGTCCGATAAATAGCCCACAGTCAAATAGTATACTTAACCATTTTAGAGTATAACCTGCAGCGCTTAGTGTACATAATTTGAACTAAATCTGTCTCAACGAGTGAACATCGTTTAATAGGCAGACGGATGAAAGCCGTCAAACCCTGTTTTTTTAGATACCGTGGCTTAAATAATACTAAATCGAAAGGATTTCTGATCGGGAGTCATGATATATAATATATCGCGAACACTTTTTAATATCCAATTCAATGTTGTTTTCTGCACAGGTCAACCCACAGTTTAAACACTTTCTCCAGTTAAGTTGTTAAAAATACTTAAAAGTTACATGGAAGCGAAAAAATCATAGTTTTTTATTACAATGATATAATGATAATGGTAATGATGGTAATGATATAATGTTCTGGTCCGAAAAATGTTTTGAGGATTTTAAGACATGATAACATAATAGTTTTCTCTTAATATTTCAGTGTGTTCTTATGAAATGGCGCTAAAGGAACAGTGCTCCAGGACACCAAAAATGTAAATACGTCTTTGAATAATTTGAAATTACGGATATAACTAAAGGTTGAAATGTTACGAACAAAAAGTACAGGAAAAAAAAATACCAAATAGTAGTACTGAATAAAATAAAAGTTTTAAAATCGAATAGTTTCATGTCTCGTGATTCGAATTTTGTACATAAAATATTATGTATAAAATTACGATAATCTTAGTAAAACCAAAAAACGTGTTCTGGTGTTGTTTTATGTCATGTCATAAAACGTTTATAGTACAACTTTTTAGCTTAACATTGCTGATTATTTGAGATTCTTTAAAAAAAAGAAAAAATACGGACATACTTCGCACGTGGTTGATGCCGCTGTTGTAGGTGGGAAGTTGGGAAGGTAGTATATAGACGGGAATTTAATGTATATGCGTAAGCAACGATAAATTATTGCTAACCAAAAAACGATTCTAAGCGGAGTTCAGTTGATAGTGATGCTTTGTCAACAATACAATATATAATATATGTCATATTATAGTTGAATGATAACAACAATGTACGTTTCTATGACAATAATAATTGTTTAAAAAAGTTTAAAATAATAAAAATTTAATAATAACAAAAAATAAATAATTAAACGACTGTCAATGATAACCTTATTTTTAACCTTTCAATCTTTTTTAACCTAAAGACCGAGGTTTTCCTCATTATCTTGAATATTAATGAGAATTTCAAAAAATTACCTTTTTAAAGTACCACCCAGAGAATATTTTCTTTCAGAAAAAGTGCTATACTTGATAATCGAAGTATGTTTTAAAAAGGGTTCACATAAAAAAAAATAAACATCATTGTAAAACCAATACATTCCTTGTTCCACTCAGAATCTAAAATGTTTAAGTATACCGTAGACATATTTAAATAAATTAAAAATACAATTCAAATAAATACAATTCCAAAATTAGATATTAAATACATTGAATATTTAATAACTTACATAATAAACATTTTAATTGGTCAATCTCTGTTAACAATAATGAAGGAGAAATAAAACGTACGTAAAGTTGACAGCACATGTATAATATATCCACTACAACCAAATATCTCTAGCAATCTTATTTCAGACTTGTTAGGCGTTGTTTGAAAATTGTTAGAATTTGTTTGACTATGGTTTCCGAGTTATTCAAGATATGCATTTTGTGGTACTAACTTCACGGAACACCACATAAACGTTTAGTGTCTGAAATCAGTCTTAAAATACTCACACACGATTAATAGATGTTGTTTGAAAGTTATTAGAGTTTTAGAATTTTTTTTAAAAAAATATTTGAGAAGCAAGAAGTTTTAAATTTTATATTTATGTTATTTTTTGTCACTCTTTTTTTTGAGGGTAAAACAATTACCTACTTTTGATTTTCAAATGGCGACCAATATTAAAAATTTCATAAATATATAAGTTAAGATAAATTATGGTGTTGGAATCTTCAACTTCCGTCAATCAGTTGACGAGATATTCCACTTTTAAGTTTATATTCATGGTTATTAAAAAAAAAAAAAATTAAGTATAATTTATGTATTAAATATTTAAATATTTAAATAGTTCTAAAAAGTAAAAATTGTTGATGAAATAATTTTTGAATACAAAAATCATAGAAAATATACTCGTTTTACATACACTTGGTATTATTATTTATTAATCCCCGTGTCGTTTTCGATCCCCTCGGTAATATTATATAAATTCAATTTATCCATACATGAAAAATTTATTACATAGCTCATATTATAATTCGTATCTACTAAATTAGTCGGCAAATTTATTTGAAACATTTTGAAATTAATTATTTATTAATAATTATATTATAATACGGTCAGTTCAAATTCGACAATTATGATGAATTGTTTGTCATAAAATGTATGATGCACAAAATATCACTTTGGCACCAGTGATACGAAACGACGTTTAACGTGCATTGGATATTCGGTGTTACATGATCGGTTTTCGGGCACGACATAAACAATTTTTTATTTCTGGAAACACTGTCCTACGGCGCAAGTGTTAGTGTTTTGCCGTTGACAAATTATTGTGATAATTTCTTTGTTCTACCAGTATAAAAACATGTTTTCGTTGACGTTCTCAAACTCCTAGTTATTTTAGAACGGTTTTTTTTTTTTTAAAGTTATTTATTCGGCACGCTAACGGATGCTATAGCCGTAATTTTTCCACGTTTTTATTTATTTAGCATTCTAAATGATCACAAACACGATTTCAGCTAAGTCGGTTAAACCAATCGGATCATCGCCAACTGCCAAGTGCTAAAATGTTTATTTATGCACCAATAAACGTTATTATTTTAATCCGCACTATTTCTGTAAATACGAACTATTGTGTTTTGATAAAAAATGTAACGCCCTATCTGGCGGATCATTATTCACAACGATTTAATCTTCTTGTATATAGGTATAAAGCTTCGACTTTCGTTTATACAATATGCTGACGTAAAAAATGGTATGATTTTGATATTTTTGTTATTATACCACTATCTATCAACTCGCTGAAACGCGTACGGTTTAAAATTATTTTTTAATAATAACTCGACATACCTAGTATTTAAACATATTACGCATGAAATTTTGTGTGTCCGCTATTTACAAATAAATAGTTTTATTCCAATTTTCATGAAATTTACTCATACTAGAGATTCAAAACAATAGAAATATCGCTGCTATTTTGTGTTTCAAAATCTAACCTCTAAATATTGAGTTAAATTTTTTTGGTTGATTTATGGGTTTTACCTTGGTGCACGGTCACTGGAATAAAATAATTAAAAAAAACAAACAGTTATTATGATCATAGATGAGGATGAGGTGTAATTTTTGAAAGTTAAATTACTGTGCAATGCCGAATAATTTTGATTTAGATAAGTGTGGAACCGAGGAAAATAATTGAATTTAATTTTAAATTCTGATTAGAAGAGGAATGTATTGGTTTTACAATGATATTTATTATTATTATTATTGTTATTTTTTTTTTTGAAAAACTTTTCTAACAGCAATTTGTCCAGATTTACAATGATAGCACTTTTTCTGAAGAGAAATCAGACTGGGAAGGTACTTAAGGAAGATTATTTTTTGATTTTACAATGAGTTTTCTCAAAAAATGGGAAAAACGAGAAAATAGGTACAGTATTAAACAAATATTATTAAAGAAAATATATAAAATGCATATGCAATTATTTTACCATATATATATATATATATATATTGTTGATAAAGCAACACTATAAACCGATCTCTGCTCAGAATCGTCTTTTTGTTGGCCATGATCTTATGTGGATACAAATGAAATAATTCTTTCTGCTTCGCAAATTAAGGTTCAAAAATTTAAAAAGATATTCCTTAAATATTTATTTAAGTTATTTTCATAATAGTATTTGTTTACAAGAGCGTCAAAATCTGAATACATACCATAAAAATTCTGATGAAAAAATGATTCTTTTTGAAAAAAAAATTAATTAAAAAGAACATTGA